CATCGAGATCTGGGAACAAGTTTCTTCAAAGAAGGTTTGCAACTGGGCCCACCCAAGCTCCTTTTGAGGCCTTAATTGTCCCGCATCTGGATAGGCTCGTATCTAATGCAAGACTTCTTCACAACGCATATACATATATCCCGCCTACTAGAGCTCCCCCAGTATGTTATGTTTGTTTATCATCTAGTCCTCACTGCTATTTGTCCTAAACAATTGTGTTTATGTTTTCCGAAATGATAATTAATTGTTGGCTGTGTTGCTTCTTTTATTTTGTATAGATTGGTATTCACTGCTCAGATAGAAACTTCTCCTATAAAATGATTGAAGAGTTACATGATCCTTGGGTTAAGAGGTTGTTTGTGGGATTTGCTCGTACATCTAAATCTAATGGGCCTAGAATGCCTGATCATCCTCCCCACCATTTAATTCAAGAGATCGATTCCGAATTACCTGTCTCACAGCCTGCTCTTAAGCAGACACACAACATTTTTGGCTCTTCACCACCTATGCGGAGTTTTGATCCAGCAAAGTTGCTCACCGTATGTATTATTCCTTTTACTCTGTCTTCTTTATTGATTAAAATACACCCTCAGTAGCCATTCTTCAACAATCATATTGATTTTGATTTTTTTGTTATATAATTTAGGACTCTGGGAAGCTTCAAACACTTGATATATTATTGAAACGCTTACGAGCAGAAAATCACCGTGTTCTCTTATTTGCTCAGATGACTAAGATGCTGAATATTTTGGAGGTACTGTTGAACTTGTTACAATGTTAAACCTTTAGATATTGGTTATATAAAATACCTTTGGTTTTCTGTCGGCATATGCAAAGATGTGAGATATGGTGAATAAAGGAATAAAATTATTGCTATTACCAGAGCCCTTTGGTGTGAGTTAATTTCCCTTTAATATAATGGTGACATGGAATTGGCTTGGGAAGATACATGGGTGCTGGGGCTATTTGGTTAAGGTCAATGATTTGAAAGTGGAAACAATCCACTATGTGGAAGATCTATTTACACAAGCAGCACTGTTGCTGTACTTTTGTTGTTGGCTACTTTCGACTTTGCTGGGTTTATTTTTACTGCTGACAGGTGGCTTGATCTTGCAGGACTATATGAACTATAGAAAATATAAGTATTTTAGACTTGATGGGTCATCTACTATTCAGGATCGTAGAGACATGGTTAGAGACTTCCAGCATAGGTAATGTCTTCATTGTCTTGTGATGATACTCTTCTTTAACATGACTCATTTCTTTATACAGTTGTTTATGTTTTTTTTAATTTATTTGTTGCAGGAGTGATATTTTTGTGTTCTTACTGAGTACTAGAGCTGGTGGGTTGGGCATCAACTTAACAGCTGCTGACACAGTCATATTTTATGAAAGTGATTGGAATCCAACATTGGATCTACAAGCAATGGATAGAGCTCACCGTTTGGGTCAGACAAAAGATGTTAGTTACATATCTCTCACTCTGCACCTATCCATCTGTTAATCGTTCTATGAATTCAATGTAGAGTTGGCAAAACAGGCCCGGATTGGTCCAATCGGGTACAGGAAAATAGCCCAATTATATTTGGGTAGTGGTGGTCCTAGTCGGCCCATGCTTCAGTGGCCATGTTCTGCAACTGGCCCAATCAGGCCAGAACAAAAAGCCTGGGTTTTTGGACTAAACTTCCCCTACCCTGGCCCGATTTTTAATGGGTATAAACAGGCTGACCCTTTTGTGGTTTGTCCTCATCACTTTCCCTTCTGTCTGAATCTATCACATTTTTATGTCACTCAAACACATCACTCCCTTTTGAATTTCCAAGTGCATCACTTACTATTGTAGTTCTAACTGATTTTATATGTATTTTGTAACATGTAGGTTACTGTCTACCGACTTATATGTAAAGAGACAGTTGAAGAGAAGATTCTTCTTAGAGCAAGCCAGAAAAGTACTGTACAGAACCTTGTTATGACTGGTGGCTCTGTTGGTGGTGATATTCTAGCTCCCGAGGATGTTGTGTCTTTGCTTCTTGATGATCCGCAATTGGAACAGAAATTAAAGGAAATCCCTCTCCAGGTTTGTTGTGAATCTCATTACCCATAATTCATTATTAGAGTATGTTTAATATCCCTATGACCAACAGTGAAAAAGAATAAACCAAAGCTATTAGATTTGTTCTTTATTTGTTGTTTTCAAGTTAGTTCGAAAAGTTTTTTTTGTTCCAAATAGGTCATTTAAGTTATTTTCTGTTTTCAAATTGGCCCATTAGCTTATTTTTTTAATATCAGATTGGTCCTATAAGTTGCCTATTTGTTAGTTTTGTTGCTTACAATCCATTTTCTAATGGTACATTTTCAGAAAACTAATGGATTTTGTAGTTCTTTCATCAAAATTGTGAATTTTGGTTGAGAATTGAGAGTTGTGAGAAAAAAAAGTTACAGGACCGAATTGAAAAAAGAAAATAACTTGCAGGATCAGTCTATTAATTTTTTGCCTAAGAATAAGGAAGTTCCAAATCCTCAAACCAATGTGAGAAGTATTCTAATTATGTTTTACTAAAACTTATTCTTCCAGGTAAAGGATAAGCAAAAGAGAAAACAATCTTTAAAGGGTATAAGGTTAAGTGAAGAAGGTGATGCATCTCTAGAAGATCTTACAAACTCTGAAGTCCAGGGCACTACAAATATTGATCTTCCCATGGAACCAGAGGGACCTAAGTCCAGTAATAAAAAGGTATCATTATACTTTTTGAAGTATTGTTGCCCCACATTTGAATCTTATTTCAACTGATTGCATGATGAGAAACATACAAACTTTATAGTTTCTTGTTTGCAAGGAAAGGATGCATTGCTTACTGAAAGTAAGAGAAAAAGAAGGATTTCAGTTAGCTATTACTCATTCTCCCTTTGTCGATGTCATTGAGATTTGACAAATCTTGCAGTAGCCATCTGATTAATGCATAAAAAATATGTGGCTTACATATTGGTTTGTAGAAAAAGTTAAAGTGAGAAGTTTGCTGGTTCCTTTGACAAGTTTTTTTGGGGTCTGTTGAGTTAAAATATTAGTACAAGGAGGTTTAGAAGCCGTAGTAGGTGGCGTGGTGCATTTGGTTGGAGCGAAATGCTTGCATCTGTAGCTTCTCTTACCCAATAAACTTCCTGTGTCTTGGCTTTTCTGTTTTGGAGGATATCCTATTCTTATTATTTTTTTCTTCCCTCACACTTCTCTATGTTAAAATTTCTAGCAAAAGTTTCAGATTATTGTCTTCAAGAACCACGAAGTTTAAACATTGACAAGGATTGTAATCCATTCAAGTGAACCTCAGCCAACCAACTTTAAGCTTGAAATTATTTGCAAAACCTTATCATACCATCTCTTTGTCATCTTTAAGCTGTTCTGATTGGCATGATACTTTGAAATACACACATTTAATGGTTACAGATTTTAGCTGTTTGATCAGAAACTTAAATCACTGAACGTGCACATTTTGTTGGTTTTATGTAATAACTTCTATGAATTTGAGTTTTTAGGTGTACTAGTTTTGATGGAGGTCAATGTTGCAAGTTTGTTATGTTATTTTCAATTTTGTTAACATTAATTTCTATTTGCAGAGAAAAGTTGGTGTTGACAAGCAAATTTCAAGGCCAAAGAATTCTCAAAAAAGGAATGAACTTGGCAATATGGCCATAGATGATGAATTGAATGATGTCCATCTAAATACCAATCCTTTGGACCACACACCAAAGAGAACCAAGAAGAGGACAAAGAAGAATGTGAATGAAAAGTGTGAAGAGGTTTTTACTGGGACAACTACCACATTCTCAAACCAGACCCATTTTCCTCCTCATAAGTAATCACAGTTCTGAAGATTCTAAAGCTGAAACAGGCTAGTGATTCCTCACAAGAGTACAATTTCTTAAAATACTTTGGTGTATTAATATAATTTGCTCAAAGGTAGGGTGTAACAGGTCGGGTCGGATCAGATCAGATCAGTTTTGGGTAGGTTAGAGAATCGGACATCAAAATTTGTTGGGTTGGATGGGTTCAGGTTTCACTTTGAAGGGCCAAGGTCGTCTTCACGAGAGAGAAATGAGAAATAATTTACTTTTTTAACATGTCACATTGCACAAAAGTGAAAACACATTATAACTCCTACGTAACTCTCTTAAAATAGATAACGGCTTCTACATAACTTCTAATAAACGTGTCCCTACAAATCTACCAAATCCAAGGATTTTTACTACTTAAATGACAAATATTGTTAGTAAGATAATTAGAATAAATAATATATCAACCATTACATTTTATTTTTACTTAAATGCACATGACTTTATGAGTTATCATATGACCATTAATTAAATTTTAATATGACCCAATTTATTCTTCTCAAAAATTTTATAAGAAAATTATTTTCATTTGAGTCATTCCTTGATATATGCCGAATCATTTTCTCAAAGATAAATGTACCGAATTAGCTCTTAAGGATGGATTTCTCCTCTCAGTTCTGTTGACATTCCTTTCCCTTTGAATAAAATCCTTCTTTGACCATTTCACCTCTATTTTTAAATTTTATGATGCCCAAATTGTTTTTGTTGCACGTTAAAAGTTTTGAATCTTTAGGAAACATCTAGTTTTTATCACTGTAATTTCACCATTTCTTCATCATAGTTGATAGCCATGCTCAATGTTTCTTGTGCAATTTCAAATATCATATCTATATTACCTAAATTGATGAAGTAGAAGGTTATATTAACTTGAAGCTAGTAGTGAATAAGATGAGAGCAAACTTCAATAATTTATTAGTCTAGTCTTTGTTTTCAATTAAGTTTTCAACAAATTTGGTATCAGCGTCCTCTCACAGGGGCCTAATAAGAAAGGAAAAAGAGTGAAAGAGTTATGACTACAAAAATCAATTTTGTTCAACTCGTAATTCCTAAAGTTTAGTGGTCATTATGATCATTTGTCGATGCTTGGTGAATTCGTTCTTGAGCCTTTTACACACCGCCTGTCACACTATGGGAGCTGGTCATGCCCAAAGTCGTTACCTTAATCGCAAGGAGGGGGGGTGTGGAAGGCAGGGTTAGTGACTGGAGTGAAGTTGCAACAAGGTAGTCGTTCCTCAACTCCAAGGAATACTGGGGTTTAGTAGTGAATACTGAGGCTCAACACAAACTAATTGAAGAGCAAAAATTAAAGGATCTTAAAGTCAATAATTACTTATTTCAAGCTATAAACAAGACAAATTTGGAAACTATCCATGTCAAGGATAGAAAAAAGCAAATTTGAGACTCTATGAAGCAAAAGTATTAGGGATCAACTAGGGTTTAGCGGGCATAATTGCAAGCATTCAGAAGAGAATTTGAGGTCCTACATATGAAGGAAGGAGAAGGAGTAGACATGTACTTTGCTCGTACTTTAACCATTGCTAATAAGATGAAGACACATGGAAAGAAGATGAATGAGGTGGCTATCATCGAGAAAATTTGACTATGTCGTTTGTTCAATGGAAGATCAAATGATTTAGAAACTCTAACCATTAATGGAGGTGAGGAACAAGCTCTCAAAATTTCTTATGGTGATAGGTTTGGAGGTAGAGGAAGAGGAAGAGGACTAGGAGCACTCAAAGGTCGAGGTCGAGGTAGAGGAAGACAACCATTCAACAAAGTAATTGTGGAGTGTTAGAAATGTCATAAACTATAGCACTTTCAATATGAGTGCCTTAATTGGGAAAAGAATGCAAACTATGTTGAAGTGAAGGAAGAAGATGAGATGTTGCTAATGTCTCATGTGGGTGCTTCAAGATTATATAATGGAGGATGTATGGCTCCTTGATTCAGGTTATAACAACCATATGTGTAACGACCCGATTTTATAACCCAAATTTTTTTTAAACTTTATTAAATGTAAATATTAGTCAAGTTTCCCAATTCAAAATGCGGAAATAATCAATAATACCTTTTCATCAAAAACATTGCATCACATTCTATTTTAATCCATAATTCATACAGTTATCCTTTGTTTCAATTACAACACTGATAAAGGTAATCATGCTAATTCTTATTACATCTTTTGAAAGAAATCATTTATACAACATAGTTACTTCAACATATTCCTCATATTACATACATTCTACAAATACAATTTTGGAATACAAAAATGACTACTCCAGTCTATACTCCCATCAGCAAACATCCACGACGCAACCGCAACATCCTGAACTCATATATAACACATAGACAAGGAAAAGCAGAGGGAGTAAGAACCAACTACGGCGACCGTAGCGTGGAATTACATAGAGTAATATCATTAAAGTATAAAAACCAATACAATCATCTAAAATCAATCATAGTAAACATATACCATTTATATACCAGTCAATACCTAAACCACATAATGTTCACATATTCAATCGGTATAGTCCTCACGTTTCACTTAGATAATTCAACACTTCCAAAACAATACAATACTCCTACGACAACCCAATATCACAAAGGCCAAACAAATCAATACCACTAAGGCAAGTCACAACCATACCACGAAGGGCAGACCAAACTCCATACCACGAAGGGCAGGTCAATCTCCATACCACGAAGGGCAGGTCAAACTCCATACCACGAAGGGCAGGTCAAACTCCATACCACGAAGGGCAGGTCAAACTCCATACCACGAAGGGCAGGTCAAACTCCATACCACGAAGGGCAGGTCAATCTCCATACCACGAAGGGCAGGTCAATCTCCATACCACGAAGGGCAGGTCAAACTCCATACCACGAAGGACAGGTCAAACTCCATACCACGAAGGGCAGGTCAAACTCCATACCACGAAGGGCAGGTCAAACTCTATACCACGAAGGGCAGGTCAAACTCCATACCACGAAGGGCAGGTCAAACTCCATACCACGAAGGGCAGGTCAATCTCCATACCACGAAGGGCAGGTCAAACTCCATACCACGAAGGGCAGGTCAATCTCCATACCACGAAGAGCAGGTCAAACTCCATACCACGAAGGGCAGGTCAAACTCCATACCACGAAGTGCAGGTCAAACACCATACCACGAAGGGCAGGTCAATCTCCATACCACGAAGGGCAGGTCAATCTCCATACCACGAAGGGCAGGTCAAACTCCATACCACGAAGGGCAGGTCAAACTCCATACCACGAAGGGCAGGTCAAACTCCATACCACGAAGGGCAGATCAAACTCCATACCACGAAGGGCAGGTCAAATTCCGTACCACGAAGGGCAGGTCAAACTCCATACCACGAAGGGCAGGTCAAACTTCATACCACGAAGGGCAGGTCAAACTCCATACCACGAAGGGCAGGTCAAACTCCATACCACGAAGGGCAGGTCAAACTCCATACCACGAAGGGCAGGTCAAACTCCATACCACGAAGGACAGGTCAAACTCCATACAACCACTTCAATCACAGTATAATATTTCCACTGCATTATTTTAACATTGCAACTTCCTCAAAACACAAGACACCACATCAATGTCATAAACACCATATATCTCATATCCTACCACAATAAAAATTACTCACAACCTCTTCATCACATAATATAATTATGTCCATTTATCGCCAACAAGCTGTTCATCACAAAATCATTATTACAAATATACCCACAAATCAACAAATCAACAACTCATCACACAATCATTGATACAAACACACCCATATATGTTTATAACAAATCAACCATCCATAACACAACATTATCATAAATAAACCACACACAACATATTCTTCATCATATAACACATTAACGTTAGAACCAGCTTTCACGAAGGTGTATTACCATAAATGAGCATATAGCGGTTTATGTAAATAAACGGTTTTCCCGCACATATATTCTCACTTTTATGGCTAATACATCCTCAGGTGAAATACATACTTTCACATGGGACATAAACACCCAAAGGAGTTTCTACCCGTTAATATGCTCCGATTCTTGAGGGAAATCGGAGAATGATGACTCTAATGAATTACTCTAAGACCACAATGGTCTTCTCCCTCACCTTAGGTTGCGTAAGCTGCGTTGCTCCGCAAAATAGCTTCATCTCCCTCCATCTCCTTCAACCTCCATTGTTGCTTTTTCATCTCCAAAGCACTCCAATGTTCCATTAAGAAGCAAGAGGAAGAGGTTTTGATGTGTTTTTGAGGTTTAGTGGAGGGAATGGTCGAAATCTATGAGGAGTTGCCGCTAGGAGTGAAAGGGGATAAAAGAAGTGAAGATTAGGGTTTGTGAAACTCTTTCCTTACTTTTATAGCTCTGACGCTCTCGCCCAAGCGAGGGATTCTCGCTCAGGCGAGAATCTCGCAATGACGAATACGATGTAGTCGATTACCATAAGGTGTAATCGATTACAGTGTGAAAAAATGCACGTATCTGATATTTTTATACGATGTAATCGATTACATGAATAGTGTAATCGATTACATCATGAAAAATTACACATGTCTGATCAGATATCAGCATGTAATCGATTACAAGGACCATGTAATCGATTACACTGTGTTAACAGCCCAAAATTGTCATTTCTCGCCCAGGCGAGACAACTCTCGCTCGGGCGAGAATCCTCCAGTATAGTCCAGGATTTCACCCTCCCAGGTGATTCTTTCTCGCTTAGGCGAGAATCTCTCGCTCAAGCGAGACTTCCAGAACTGATACTATAATTTTAAAGACTAAAAAATTAGGATGTTACAATATGTGTGGGAACAAGAAAATGTTTGCAGAGTTAATAATGTCTACTAATAAGATTCAAGAAGGAATGTGTAAGTTGTATCATCTAGAAAGAGGCCTAATTATGGAGATAATAATGTCTACTAATAAGATGTTTGTGCTTTTGGTCACAATGTTTCCTAATGACTCTATTGAGTCATATATATGGCACTGTATGTATGGTCATATTAATTTCAAGAGCTTAAAAGTTTTGCAATATAAGAAGTTGGTGAAGGGATTACCTGTACTTAAGATGCTTAGCAAGTTATGTACAAATTTCCTAGTGGAAAAGCAACATCAAGACATCATTCCAAAGACAAGTTCATGAGGGGCTTGCAAAAGGTTGCAGATGGTCCACTTTGACATTTGTAGGCCAATCAAACCATGATCAAACTCTAAAATGAGATATTTGATTAGTTTCATTGATGATTTCAATAGAAAATTTTGGATTTATTTTTTGTGTGAAAAATCAGAAGCATTTGGTGTGTTTAATAATTTTATGCAATATGTTGTAAAGGAAACCGATGATTTCATAAAATGTTTGCACACAGATAGGGATAGTGAATTTACTTATATCGAGTTCAATGATTTCAGTAGGGATAATGACATAAAAAGGTAATTGACAACAAATTATACCCCTCAACAAAGTGGGATGATTGAGCAAAAGAATCAAATTATAATGAATATGGCTTGAAGTATGTGTCTGAAAAAAGAGTGCCTAAGGTATTTTGGCCAGAAGATGTAAATTGGAGTGTGTATGTGTTGAATCAAAGTCCAACAATGACAATGAAGGATATAACTCCAAAATAGGCATGGAGCGGTGTCAACTGTAATGACCCAAAAGATACTCTAGCAAATTTTCGCTATATACTTTTTTTTTTGTTCAAGGTTTTCATAGTTATTATAACTCTACACTTTTCCATCTTTATCCACCCCAGATACAATCTATACATTTATCCTTGAGTTTCATACATTTACATCATATAATCGCACAAAACCATAAATGCATATCCATACCATTAATAAGTTTCATCCTATGATAATTTTGAGATTAAATAGTTAGGAGTATCCCCAAAATACGAATAACTTCAAATATCAGTTTAACATTCCACGAACATGAAGTCATATAATTACAACCACTAAATCCCTAGATCATCTAGTCATTGCAATCCGCTAATCCTTATTTTTACCTGCAATTCAATTATCATAGATAGAACACAACAAATACAAAGGAATAAGTCATTAAACTTCAATACATTTACAGTAGATAATTGACATTAAATATAAGGTTAAACAGATACAAATAAGGAAAATACAGTTAATATTTATCACCTCTTACCACCTCGATCATTTGAGACTTCCAATATCATGCTTCATGCACTATCAAACCATAATATCACTCTTTACAT